TAAGTGTACGTATATAATCTAAAGTGACGTTAAGTGATGACACTTTCTAGAGCTAGATATTACATTAATGTGTTATATTATATTATATTATTATATTAAAGTATATTTTTTTTTTATTTAGATTATTATTATATTCTTTCTATAGTTTATTGTTTTGTATTATATTATATTATTTTATATTATATTATATTATATGTATAGTCGTGTGTAAATAGTTGAGAAAGCTAAATAAAAAATCTATCTATCTATTTATACGAAAAACAAATTAAAAAAAAATCAAACGAAACAATTTAGAATAAAACCACGTATAGCATTGAAAAGAAAAATAGCAAAAGAAAATCACTACCACCTTCCAAAACGAATAAAAAAAAAACACCCCATTTTTATCCTCGTCAGTTAAATGTAATATCCACGTGTATATCATAAAACAATTTAAAATACACGAATGATAAAGATAAACAAATAAACAAACAAACAAGAATAAGAACAAGAAGAAGAAATTTGTTAAGTTACATCTTCACACACGTGTGTTTGTATGTACCGGATACGAAGAAGATGATCGATCAGAAAAAATATTCGATCGGGATGCGATAAGACGAGGAAGAAGAAACGGAATAAGAATATGAATAAGTATAAAAAGAAAAAGAAAAAAAAATTAAGAAATGGCAGTCAAACATAAGTTTTGTTTCATTCCGGTAGACATCGACGACATTTTCTCTTCAACGAGTGAGACCTCGATGATTTCTCGTGTGCCACGTACGATATGATGACGCGACAAGGTGGTATACACAAGATAAATATATACATATATATATTTTCATGGTTGAACTTTTCGTTGAAGAGATCTTATCAGGTTTGAGAAGGGCGTAGGTGGGCTTCGCGAGACAAGAGTGGAACCCACGTTTATATTAATACTCGGCCGATCGTATCGCGTGCTTTTGACTTAGGCGTAGGGTACTGCGTATAAATTATATCGTAGAATGAAATAAAGGAAAGGAAAATCAAAGAAATAGAAAGAAATAGAAATAGAAAGAAATAGAAAGAGAGAGAAAGAGACAAATGATATTTCCGATCGCGAGTCGAGTAGTAACTCGCAGTAACACACCGCCCTAT